CAGTCAGTCCGTCAGTGTATGTAGTTGTCTGTCTGAAGTAGAAGCTGAGCTGTGAAGTGTACATTCATTATTCATGATTTGGGCAGCATTCATTCAATGGCAATACTTTTTGCGGCAACAATCATTTTCATCGACAATATCTTTTCACATTTATCAGTAAATGAACCTTCGTTTAATCTTCCTGTCGAAGTCATGTGAACCAGAGTCATCGAAAAGTTCCAGAATACTAACCCTTCCGTAGCTCAATTTGCCCTTGAGAGAAAATATCATTGGCACTATTGCTTCTTGAGGCAGCCTTTCAACATAATGAACTCTGCAATATATCTTTATAAAGAGTTTCTTTGCTAGCCGATAAATGTATAGCAATGCAACTATTGTATAGAGAAGATACAAATAAATAATATAGCTTCCGTTCATATTCGCCATAAAACTGCTTCTCTTTGCGTTATTAAATGTGCCAGAAAATTTGTTTATATACTAAATATATTTAAGCAAATTAAAATATTTAAACGGGAGTTTTAATGGAAGTTTAGAATAAAAAGGAAAGGTTGAATATTTAAAAAACAATCATAGTTACCGTAAGTCAGAAATTGTTACTGCAATGATCCCACGTAATTACCAAAATATGTTACTTTTTTTCTTCTTTAATGGTAAAAGCAATCATTTCGCTCCGACGCACTGTTTTTCACCTCGAGGCGCTACCGAGGCCGCGATATTACAACTGCCCTCGACATTCAGCGTATGAAGCGAACAATCGAAGGAGACATTGCAAACCTCTCTTTCCAGTATCCTTGTGTGCGGAGAGCGAATGGAATGAGTGCAAAAAATGGGGGTAATTATGAGATGCAAGTTGTAATAAACAATTAAATATCTTGCGAATGGAAGTGAATAGCACCGATCGGATTGCGGAATTCCGTGTTGCATTTGAAGAAGATTCGGAGTCAATAAAAAATTACAAAATTTTCAAATTTATAAACAATTTCCAACTTTTGACGATCTAAAGGAGGAGAGTCTCTGGATTTCACAGAGCCGAAAACAGCGAATTAACAATTTTACAACAATTTACGATTTTATAAACAAATTCGAAATATGACCTAGAACTATCGGAAGGAATCCGAAAATTGTGTCTGAGATCAGTTTTATATAGCTGTTTGACAGAGTTACAAATTGATTACTAAAAGTTAGTATAATTGTTGCTAAAATGCTAAATAATTACTGGTCTATTGACAGTAATTCTGGATGAAAAACCCCACGCGGAAATATTTTTTGGTTATGGCGTACGCGCAGGAAAAATCTCTCCTTCGCAGGAAATATAATTCCGCGTATACGTAAACAATTGAAGCCCCCGCCCCACGGTAGTTTGCGCCAATCACATAGACACTAAGATTCTGAATGTAGCGATTGGTCAACGCGCCCCTCTCTCGGTTTGAAAGGTGCCCAAGTTTGTCTGGACGGTTGGGAAGATAGAATTTCACCCACCACTTTTTGTGGGGGTAACTTTACCATGGGCATTAACTGGTTCTAATGGTCGAGCGGCGACAAATGGCTCTGCATCTCCCCCTGACAAAACCACATATTGGCAACTAAAATGAACGTTAGACTGTGTACAGCAGTGCGGTCAGTGGGCCACGGCTAGTACGCCCAAATTTCAAGGGATCCTTTATTTAAAATAAAGTGTGATCTTTTTTTTTTAATGCTTCCGCAAAGGTAAACATGCGTGATTATATTTTTCAGACGCATTCCTTCAGTGTGGCCGCTCAAAATCTGAGATGTGAAATATCCAAGAAAACCTTATCTGCGTCTTTCGAGATATCGCAATCAGTCACATTGTCTAAAAATCTAAATTAATTGAACTGTGGGGAAATTTTAATTGAACTGTATTTTGAAAGCCTCTAAAAATGTTTGGGCAAGGAAGCTTCGGGGGGAAAATGCCAGATATATCATGAGCAAACAACACTCTGAAGCCAAGAATTGGAGAAGTGTCCATAAATGTTGAAGAACAGCTTGTGAGCTTCAGAAAAGTATCCCTATTTTTATATCCAATGTAATGGAAGTATCGATATTCCAAAAAGTTCCCGATTACCAGTTTGTTTTTTTAATTTTTAAGTGAAGACAATACGATCCACGAATTGGTTCGGTCACAGGCTGGAAACTACTACAAAAGTGAAGGACGTCATGATAGTTTCCGATTATTTCGAGAATAATTAATTCAAATGGGGCAATCTTGCTAGCAAATATGCTGTCATCTCAGCCTGGCTTGAACACATAGGTATAAGAGATGAATTCCAGTAACAAAACTATACATCGCAACATTGGCCGACCTGCATTCGCGTCAAAAACGTAACTTGTAACTTAAGTATTACATTGAAAGTTGACATGTGAAAAACTTATATGTCGAAATAGATGCAGATCTTGATAATTTATTTCACACTGAGTTCCGCTGTCTATCAAATTTGCACTATTGTTTAAACTTAAGAGTTAGAAGTATTTTTGATAGAAAAAGAAATGAAGGATTTTCATGAGCAGTTATATGACCCAAAATTTGAAATTCAACTTGCCTTTTTTGTTTGTTTTTTAATATATTTGTTCATTTCAATCAAATGAATTTGCTACTACAGACCTCTGGAATTCTAGAACTGGAAAGAATGGCGAATTTATCATTGAAAATAAACTGCTGGGATTTCTAACCCAATTTGATCTCTGACTAAATTGCAAGAATGTAACTATTCTCTTTTTTCTGCTTTTAAAACTCCTGTTCAAAAGTGAATAGTATTAAGAAAATACTGAAAATATTCATGTCATATTTCTGTCTCACAGAAGCTTAAAGACGAATTTTCTCATATTTTCCTGAGTATGCGACACTACTCCAATGATGCTAACAGTCTCATGCCAAAGGGGTGGAAGAAGGCGCCCCGAGGACCAGAGCGTTTTTTAAAGTCGCTTTTTAATTACAAGGTGATGTATCGACCACTGTGACTGCAGAAGAATACACACGTAAGGACAACACGAGCACATCACAAACATCCATGCCCGAGCCGGGACTCGAACCTGCCATTCTTCCGTCAGAGATCGCCACGGAAGTGCTGCCTAAGCGATGTCAGCTATCCGGATAGGCTCTTTTGTATTTGATTACAAAAGGAGTTACGATTTCATCATCTAGGATTTTATTACTACAACCTTTCCTAAGTGATGTTTTCGTCTTTCAGCACTTACCGGATGTATACAAAACAATTCGTCGCAATGCTAATCGCTTTCTGGAAACTACAATGTGCTCTTACAATCAGAACTGCCCATAAGCGCGTTGAAATCTTATTTTAGAATCTCTCGATGTAAATAACAGTTTTATCTATTTTTAGCATTATAGTGAATGATGAAATAGTTTTAAAGAAAGAAAAAACGACGTGGATAAGTTAGTTCGCGTCAATTGAACAGTAAGTAAAAATGTTTTCAAAATATAAAATGACCTTGTCACAGCTCAAAAACTGAAAATATTTTAAACCAACTTGTAAAATGTGATTGTAATATATTTTCAAGTATATGTGACATTAGTTCTTAAATATTATACAATTTCCCTTCAATTGTATTGCGTCTGTTAAGAGATTAATACGCTCTCCTATTATCAGTGTTTAAGTCAGCGTTGAAAACTCAATGAACAGATTCGTTTGAATCCATTATAACCATAATAGTTGTTATGCAATAATACCAAGAGTGACACCTAACATCAAAAGTGATTTCCCAAGAATCCCGCTGTTCGTCAACTAAACACGATCCACCTTTTCCAGTCCTAAACATTCTGTTAATAGTGCTGATTTCTTAATTTTACTCAAAAATCTTTGAAGTGAATGTTAAACAAAATATTTTTATTGTACAAAATCTAAACTTTTTAATTTTCTCCGAATTTTGTGGTTTTATTTTTTTTCCAAAGAAAGATTTTACGAACACATTTCCCCCAGACCATCCGTCAACTTATTTTACTCTTGCTGTCGCCATTTGTGTATGACCCACGGGAAAATTTGAAGTGGAATAGTGGTCTGTGACTTAATAGTATGTTTAGTTGGAAATCACTGGACTACGCGAATAATAGAACTTGTTAATAGTAAAAAAGTTAATACAAGTAATAGCACAAAGATTTAAATATCTGTCCTGCTACTGGTAATTTAATGACTTTCTATGTTGTAATATATATATATATATATATATATATATATATATATATATATATAGTTTGAATATTATACTCAAGTGCTTCGTTACAATTCGTATTAAATACAAAATTCATACTTAATTGGCAGTATGAAAACAATCAATCAAAACTTTCGTGATAATTTTAAAGTCAGTGGTAAAATAACTGAAGTCAGACAATGCTGGAAATTCCTGATACAATGACCCGCTTCAATACAAAAT